CCAGTGCCTAAATCAGAACCCAAATACACACCAGCGAAATGCCCACTGTGATGGGACAGGAAGCAAGTGCGTCACTGCAGTTGAAACCCCACTCAGTTTGCAGTATGTGTCATTATTTATACACCATAGTCATCCACAAACTAGAGGGAAATGCAGCTGTAAAATTATACCAGCTTTCATCAATCTTTAATGCTTCAAAATAAAATTTTGGGCAGGAAAATAACTGAATATCCTCCCTGTACAAAGATTCATCCTAAATGCTAGTAATATTAATCAGCAAAACCCCAATTCCCATATATGGTTGTATATTTCAAACATTCTTTATGGAGTCATCCACAAACTAGAGGGAAATGCAGCTGTAAAATTATACCAGCTTTCATCAATCTTTAATGCTTCAAAATAAAATTTTGGGCAGGAAAATAACTGAATATCCTCCCTGTACAAAGATTCATCCTAAATGCTAGTAATATTAATCAGCAAAACCCCAATTCCCATATATGGTTGTATATTTCAAACATTCTTTATGCCAGGTATTCTACAGCCAAGAAATCAGTCCTGCTGTAGAGACTGCATATGTCAGCACAAAGCAGACGAGGCTGAGCGCTGCCTAAACAGCCTTTTGAGAAATCATAGTATACCCACACTGAATTTAGCAGCACTGAATATCCTAGAAACTCCAGGTTTACGTAGCAGCTGATATCACAAACGTGTCATAGGGGTACACTCACCTATGTGATGCTTAAAGATATTTATGCCATGCTCATCACCCTGGCATCTGAAACTCCTGGATTATAGAAAAAAGCACAGTAATGCCCTTGCCAGGATTGCAAAAGTGAGAAAGAAAATAAAATCTTGGGAAATTTAATTGGTTAAACTTAATAGAAAGTATGAAAGAAATTTGCCAGATGGACTGCAAAGCTTATATGGGGACAACCAATCTACTGAATTTCACATGCAAACTGGTATTAAAGCACTGCCTTATGGTAGGACTACATTTAAAAGCTTGATTGAAGATGCTCCTACACTGGCAGGAGAGCTTCTCCTGGCCTGTGGTTAATCCACCTCCTTGAGAGACAGTACCCATGTTGACTGGAGAAGCTCTTCTACCAACACAGAACTGTCCATATTGGCAGTGAGATTGGTATAACTGTCATGGAGAGGGACATTCCACGCCCGTTGTGTGAAGCAGATATAGCAATAAAATTCTGTAGTGTAGACTGGACCTTGAGGTGTGGGAAATACTAAGTTATATTTACAGAGAAAGATTTGGACTAGTCAATTATTGTCAGACAGCCAAAAGCAACCTCCAGCTAAATCTTCTTTATTACTTTAAGTAATTTGTCCATGATTACAGGGCCCATGGAAGCAGGTAACTCTTTCCAAGACTTCATTACATTGTGACAGTGAAGATCTAGCAGATGGGACAATATGCTATAAAACTAGTGCAGAAGCTAGACGAGTGCTTGAAATGTGGCACTGCTGACAAATGGATATAAAAGCCCACCTTGTGGAGTCTGTGAGGTGAAGGGGGGCATTTGGATTCAAAAGCCATCCCAAAACATGGTTTTGGCTAAACATTGGTGAAGTGAATTCAACTGGAAATAATCTGCAAAGGTCATGTTTTGAAGGCAAATGAAAAAGGCAGATGTAGTGCCCATCTTTTAAAAAGGGAAGAAGACAATCAAGGGAATTACAGACCATTTGGCCTTACCTCAGTCCCCAGAAAAATCATGGAGGGGATCCTCAAGGAATTCATTGTGAAGCACTTGGAAGAGAGGAAAGTGATCAAGAATAGTCAACATGGATTCACCAAGGGCAAGTCATGCCTGACCAATTTGATTAGCTTCTAAGATGAGGTAACTGGGTCTGTGAACATGGGGAAATCAGTGGATGTGATAGTCTTGCCAGCAAGTTAAGGAAGTATGGATTGGATAAATGGACTGTAAGGTGGATAGAAAGCTGGCTAAATTGTCGGGCCCGATGGGTACTGATCAATGGTTTGATGTCTGGTTGGAAGTTGGTTTTGAGTTAAGAATGGTTTTTTTTTCAACATCTTTATTAATAACTTCAGAGGGATAGCTCAGTTAGTCTTCTTCAGATGCCCACGAAACCTCATGATACCATCTACATGTTTTGTTTGTCTTTAAGGTACTACTAGACTATTTGTTTTTAAAATCTTTATTAATGACCTGGATGAGGAGATGGGTTACACCCTCAGCAAGTTTGTAGATGACAGTAAGATGGGGGAAAGGTAGATACATTGGAGGGCAAGGATAGGGGCCCAGAAAGATCTAAACAAATTAGAGGATTGGGCCAAAAGAAATCTGATGAGGTTCAACAAGGACAGGTGCAGAGTCCTGCACTTGGGACTGAAGAATCACAAACATTGTTACAGGCTGAAGACCTTCTGGCTAAGTAGCAGTTCAGCAGAAAATGACCTGTGGATTACACTGGATGAGAAGCTGGATATGAGTGAACAGTGTGCCCTTGTAGACAAGAAAGCTAATGGCATATTAGGATGCATTAGGAAGAGCATTGCCAGCAGATCTAGATAAGTTATTATTCCCCTTTATTCAGCACTGGGGAGGCCACATATGGAGTATTCCATCTAATACTGAGCCCCCCACTACAGAAAGGATGTGGACGCATTGGAGATGGTCCAGTGGAGGGCAACCAAAATGATTAGGGGGCTGGAACACATGACCTGCGAGGAGAGACTGAGGGATTTGGGCTTATTTAGTCTGCAGAAGAGAAGAGTGAGGGGGGATTTGATAGCAGCCTTCAACTTCCTGAAGTGAGGTTCCAAAGAGGATGGAGAGAAACTGTTCTCAGTAGTGACAGATGGCAGAAGAAGCAATGGTCTCAAGATAGTGGTGGAGGTCTAGGTTGTTTACTAGGAGGGTGGTGAAGCCCTGGAATGGGTTACCTAGGGAGGTGGTGGAATCTCCACCCCTAGAAGGCTGTGTCTACATTGGCACCCTTTTCCGGAAAAGGGATGCTAATGAGACCAGTCGGAATTGCAAATGCCATGGGGGATTTAAATATCCCCCGCGGCATTTGTATGAACATGGCTGCCGCTTTTTTCCGGCTCGGGGCTTTGCCAGAGAAAAGCCTTTTCCGGAAGATCCCTTATTCCTGATTTTAAGGGTTCAGGTGGTTATAAGCACAAAATATCTCTATTGTCACAAGATACATTCCCACAGTCCTGTATCCATTCAAATCCTCCCAGGAAACCATAAAGCCCTGGATACTGTCCTCAAAGCTTATTGCCATCCAAGTCTGGGATCTCCAGAATCTTGCTAATTAAAAACTGAAATAGCACATCCATTATAGTAAAATACAGCACTTCATGTTAACAAGTGTTTAATATCCCTTTCACCCAGTATAAAGAAGCATGAAACCTCAAATAAAATATTGGGGCTGATTCTGCAAGTCACTAATGAGCACCTCCTGCAAGATACTTAGCATCTTCAACTTCAAGATCAAGGTTTGTGAATTGAACAGCTTCTGATAACACTCAACAGGCTGCAATAATGGGCCCTGTACTTAATTTTTTTAACCCCTTCGAGAGAAAAATCTTTCTGCAAGAAAAAGGGAAGCCGTAGCTACTTACCAGTAAATAGTACACTGCAATAAACTGGCTATTTTTTGCTTGTTTTGGGAAATAGATCAAGATTTTGATTCTTATAATTTAGGAGGCAGATTGCATTGCAGAGATTTTTACCCACAGTACAGTATTGCAGGTATTTCACACATTCAACAGAGCAAGGACAAGGTTGTGGCTAGAATTGACTCATATTTCAGTTTATTTCATGGACAGAAAAATACAGACTGTATATAATGAATGGGGGAAAACCCACAACCAAAATATACTTCTTGCAGCATTTACAAAATGCTACTATTTATTGGCATGTCAAATTGTATAAGTAACAAAATAAGCAGTATTAAAATAACCCAAGTCTGTTGTTCTTCCTTGAATAAATGCTTCAAGCTATTGTATTGGGTGGGCATTGTTGCTAATGAGTAGCAATTTTAAATAAGGAAAATCAGGGCAGTTACAGCTTAAATATGCAACTCTTTAAAAGCCTGTTTCGTCTTAAGGCATGGGGGTGTCCAGAATTGTTACTGGCCTTTCCACACTGCTCTTTCATATCAAAGCAAAAATGAGATGCTGTCTTCTAGGTTCATATACATCAATCAATATGGAAGCAGTTTAAAAAGCTATAATAAATTAGCACTGGTAGAGGCAGCTACTGTACCCAGGGAATCTCTTTTTCTTTTATTAATGGCAGTAGAAATAAGAACTTATTCATATATTCATCAGCAAAATTTCTGTCAAGTATTAGCAAAACAAGAACCAAACAATAGTTCTACTTCTACATTTTCGTCTTTTTATTGGATTATTCATATTTATTAAGCTCCCTCTATAGTAATTAAACAGTGGTGCATTCATCTAGAAGAGAAATCATTCCTGCAAAAGTTATTTGGAAGATGAATATGAGAGCAGAAGGAGAAAGGAGGGGAAATGCTATGTGACTAGATAAATTGTTTGATGCATTTGTTTTCTTCTATTATGCATTAGGTGTTAAAAGAGATTATGGCAATTGGATGGGAGTGAGATAAGTGTTCTCTTCTTGTGTCAAATAGCTTTCAGGACAGCAGTTAATTGAACTGTTTATCACAACATAAGGTCACCGGCATCTCTACCATCAGAAGACCAGAACAAAGTGCAACTAGCATTTCATGCTAAAAATATAACTAAAGGTGGAGAATGGGTTTAAATTTTAGTGTTACTAATTTAAGAAACCATGATCATACCAATGCAGATAAAATCAGCAGCTAATCTGCTACCATGGCTACATTTCTTAGTTACCAATTTTATTATTCAGTGTTGCACTGGAGAGGAAAAGCACTAGGTGTTTTATTTGGCTAGGTGAGCGGGGGAGAATATATATTATTATCACCCTCAACATCATTATAATGATTAACTATTTCCACAGATTAATTTTAGCTGTTCCCATGTAAATGTTGTACACATGAAAGATGTCCAGACAAAGGTGAAGACAAAAATCCTGTATGCAGAACAGGTGCATCAGCTACAGCAGTAGACCAACACAATCAGTACATCTCACCTCTCATCCAAAGAAAACATTCCCTGGACAGAGTATAAAACAGTATTTGTGCCCCTTTCATCCTTGCCTTCTACATTGAAGCTTCCAGCAACATTGCCTGTTGTTGTCTGATGAACTGAGCTGATGAGATGTTGGGGATGCGAGTACCCATCTGCTGGAAACTGTGCTGAAAATTAAATCCATTTTATAGCCAAACATAACAGTTGAGGCCTTTTACTGTGTTAATCATTCTAAAGCAAAGTCAGATAGAAGAATATTTAAAAAGATGCTTTACTTTGTTCACATTCTTGGACTGAATGTCAGAATTCCAGTGTGAGTGACTGTCCAGACAAAGAAAGTGTACTTTCTTATCACCTGGTCACTGTGCTGTCAATATTAGCATTATCTAGGCAAACACTCTGCAAGAGAAGCAACTCACCAAGAATTGGAAATAATTATGTTGAACTTTGCATTTCCCTCATCTCACTAGTTCTTAACAACGGTACAGGAGGGTCTTGTTCATTGGTGGAAGCTACCTGAAATGTCCATTGGAGTGTTCTTCTCACCTGACGAATGGTATCAGGTGTCTTCAGGAGGTCAATCCTTTTAAAAGGATTGGGTGGCTGTGCCTAGCATGCAATTGAAAGTTCTCTGCTGAGTAATCCTTCATAAGGAAGGCCATCTCAATGGATATCAAAATGGTTGAGTGGCTGTTGTCATAACTCATCCAGGGATTTGTATATTCAATCATGTCAAGCTACAGAAAAAACTTGAGATCTTTAATGCCAGACTTCTAAAGAGGTATCAGCATTCCTTATGCATTCACATGTGCAATTTTGCAAGTTAAGAAGTTTTGCATTCAGAGTTTACACACTCTAAAGCTTATGCCCCAAACATACTACAATGAAGTTAGAAGTCTATTATGCTGTCTAGGACTCAGTTTCCACTGGGAGTGACGTTGAATTTAAGTTAACTTTTTAGTAAGGTACATGTTGAATAATCCTAATTTTCTGAACATATTGAGGCTAGACATAGAAGCTTATAAGTAATCTGACTCTTTATATCTGTAAAACATCTGCTGTCATCGAAAGACCTACAATGGAACCAATCAGCATCAGGAGCCATTATGCTCAAGGCCCAGCATAACAGTCACCATATTTCTGGCTTAAAAGGACCCACTGCAGAGATAACTCTTAGCCATCATGGGCTCTGCTGAGCTGTTCTTAGAGAAGATTTTGGTTTAAACAAAATGAATAAGGAAGGAGGTGAAACAAGGCAATCAGGAGAATGGGGAAGACAGGAAAAATGACTGTTCCATTGTGGAAGGTGAAAAATCTATACCCAGTTATGTTCTGTTACTATATTTTCCTGTAGATCAATGGCCAGCAAAGCAAATTGCCTCATCTTAATGTCAAACATTGAGAAACACATACATACTCCTGCCTGGGAGCATGAAACTGCTGGCTCCAGAATGCTGCAACTGCTTCCAATTCTCAGCAAGTGCGGAGCCAAAGGCGAAGTCATTTTGAAATGTGTAATAACAGATTTCATTTAGATTCTGATGAATATTTTATTTTTAATCCCATCAACAAAGAATTAATGTTTTTATTAGTTAAAACATGAGATTTGTGGAAAATAAAACTATGTTGTAAATTCTCAGGACCACGAGAAAGAAAACTGTGCAAGCAGCGCCTTTGTCTCTCACCAGCAATTCCCTTAAAAATGTTATAGTTTAGTTGAAGAGCTAGGTTGAAAATCAGGCTCCTTCTTATCCTACCCAATTCAGTTTGCCCATCTCCATGGCAGAGTGCTAGATGCCTTCAGGGAGGTGCCAAACTGAAGTAAACCCACACTGTGAATAAAATTAAAGCTACCGGTCAAGTCCTCAGTAAATTGGCCTAGTTATGGCAAAGTCACCACACTGTGTCTGTTTACACTAGAATAGGTACTGTCCCATTTCTGTAGGGGCTTGAGTTGATCCATAACACTACTGCACCTTAGGAAGGCTGTTGTGTGTGTGCTAGAGTTTGCAAATGCCAACTTTGATGTCTATCTTCCTTTGGCTCCTTAGACAACCAGGTCCCATTAACATTCAATGGGATTGTGGCTGTTAACTCCCTCCGGCTCCTGTGACAATTCCATCTCTAGTTAGTTATACAGTTCTAAGCACTACCAAAAGTTACTACCACTGTCAAGTTAAGAGTTACCTAGCAAGAAAACACGCTGGGTATGTCTACACTACCCCGCTAGTTCGAAATAGCGGGGTAATGTAGGCATACCGCACTTGCAAATGAAGCCCGGGATTTGAATTTTCCGGGCTTCATTTGCATAAGCGGGGAATCAAAGCAAAAATGAGATGCTGTCTTCTAGGTTCATATACATCAATCAATATGGAAGCAGTTTAAAAAGCTATAATAAATTAGCACTGGTAGAGGCAGCTACTGTACCCAGGGAATCTCTTTTTCTTTTATTAATGGCAGTAGAAATAAGAACTTATTCATATATTCATCAGCAAAATTTCTGTCAAGTATTAGCAAAACAAGAACCAAACAATAGTTCTACTTCTACATTTTCGTCTTTTTATTGGATTATTCATATTTATTAAGCTCCCTCTATAGTAATTAAACAGTGGTGCATTCATCTAGAAGAGAAATCATTCCTGCAAAAGTTATTTGGAAGATGAATATGAGAGCAGAAGGAGAAAGGAGGGGAAATGCTATGTGACTAGATAAATTGTTTGATGCATTTGTTTTCTTCTATTATGCATTAGGTGTTAAAAGAGATTATGGCAATTGGATGGGAGTGAGATAAGTGTTCTCTTCTTGTGTCAAATAGCTTTCAGGACAGCAGTTAATTGAACTGTTTATCACAACATAAGGTCACCGGCATCTCTACCATCAGAAGACCAGAACAAAGTGCAACTAGCATTTCATGCTAAAAATATAACTAAAGGTGGAGAATGGGTTTAAATTTTAGTGTTACTAATTTAAGAAACCATGATCATACCAATGCAGATAAAATCAGCAGCTAATCTGCTACCATGGCTACATTTCTTAGTTACCAATTTTATTATTCAGTGTTGCACTGGAGAGGAAAAGCACTAGGTGTTTTATTTGGCTAGGTGAGCGGGGGAGAATATATATTATTATCACCCTCAACATCATTATAATGATTAACTATTTCCACAGATTAATTTTAGCTGTTCCCATGTAAATGTTGTACACATGAAAGATGTCCAGACAAAGGTGAAGACAAAAATCCTGTATGCAGAACAGGTGCATCAGCTACAGCAGTAGACCAACACAATCAGTACATCTCACCTCTCATCCAAAGAAAACATTCCCTGGACAGAGTATAAAACAGTATTTGTGCCCCTTTCATCCTTGCCTTCTACATTGAAGCTTCCAGCAACATTGCCTGTTGTTGTCTGATGAACTGAGCTGATGAGATGTTGGGGATGCGAGTACCCATCTGCTGGAAACTGTGCTGAAAATTAAATCCATTTTATAGCCAAACATAACAGTTGAGGCCTTTTACTGTGTTAATCATTCTAAAGCAAAGTCAGATAGAAGAATATTTAAAAAGATGCTTTACTTTGTTCACATTCTTGGACTGAATGTCAGAATTCCAGTGTGAGTGACTGTCCAGACAAAGAAAGTGTACTTTCTTATCACCTGGTCACTGTGCTGTCAATATTAGCATTATCTAGGCAAACACTCTGCAAGAGAAGCAACTCACCAAGAATTGGAAATAATTATGTTGAACTTTGCATTTCCCTCATCTCACTAGTTCTTAACAACGGTACAGGAGGGTCTTGTTCATTGGTGGAAGCTACCTGAAATGTCCATTGGAGTGTTCTTCTCACCTGACGAATGGTATCAGGTGTCTTCAGGAGGTCAATCCTTTTAAAAGGATTGGGTGGCTGTGCCTAGCATGCAATTGAAAGTTCTCTGCTGAGTAATCCTTCATAAGGAAGGCCATCTCAATGGATATCAAAATGGTTGAGTGGCTGTTGTCATAACTCATCCAGGGATTTGTATATTCAATCATGTCAAGCTACAGAAAAAACTTGAGATCTTTAATGCCAGACTTCTAAAGAGGTATCAGCATTCCTTATGCATTCACATGTGCAATTTTGCAAGTTAAGAAGTTTTGCATTCAGAGTTTACACACTCTAAAGCTTATGCCCCAAACATACTACAATGAAGTTAGAAGTCTATTATGCTGTCTAGGACTCAGTTTCCACTGGGAGTGACGTTGAATTTAAGTTAACTTTTTAGTAAGGTACATGTTGAATAATCCTAATTTTCTGAACATATTGAGGCTAGACATAGAAGCTTATAAGTAATCTGACTCTTTATATCTGTAAAACATCTGCTGTCATCGAAAGACCTACAATGGAACCAATCAGCATCAGGAGCCATTATGCTCAAGGCCCAGCATAACAGTCACCATATTTCTGGCTTAAAAGGACCCACTGCAGAGATAACTCTTAGCCATCATGGGCTCTGCTGAGCTGTTCTTAGAGAAGATTTTGGTTTAAACAAAATGAATAAGGAAGGAGGTGAAACAAGGCAATCAGGAGAATGGGGAAGACAGGAAAAATGACTGTTCCATTGTGGAAGGTGAAAAATCTATACCCAGTTATGTTCTGTTACTATATTTTCCTGTAGATCAATGGCCAGCAAAGCAAATTGCCTCATCTTAATGTCAAACATTGAGAAACACATACATACTCCTGCCTGGGAGCATGAAACTGCTGGCTCCAGAATGCTGCAACTGCTTCCAATTCTCAGCAAGTGCGGAGCCAAAGGCGAAGTCATTTTGAAATGTGTAATAACAGATTTCATTTAGATTCTGATGAATATTTTATTTTTAATCCCATCAACAAAGAATTAATGTTTTTATTAGTTAAAACATGAGATTTGTGGAAAATAAAACTATGTTGTAAATTCTCAGGACCACGAGAAAGAAAACTGTGCAAGCAGCGCCTTTGTCTCTCACCAGCAATTCCCTTAAAAATGTTATAGTTTAGTTGAAGAGCTAGGTTGAAAATCAGGCTCCTTCTTATCCTACCCAATTCAGTTTGCCCATCTCCATGGCAGAGTGCTAGATGCCTTCAGGGAGGTGCCAAACTGAAGTAGGCTGTTGAAACTGATCAGTTTCAGCAGCGGCCGATGCCAGTTCCGACTTACATACAGATTCAACTTAAGAACAAACCTACGGTCCCTATCTTGTACGTAACCCGGGGACTGCCTGTACTGTGTTTGACCTCCAGTGTTTTGCCTTTAATCCAATTGCAGAGTGTTTATTCCAGTGAACTATTTTATGCCTCACCTCACACAATCTTAGGGAGCTTCTGCCTCAGTTCTTGGGGATGGGTCTTGTGCCCATTCCCTTTTCCTCCTCCATACTCTTTTCCCATCTTGAGAACACATTGTATGCATGTATCTTTCTAGAAGAAAGAGGAGGA